TGTGTGTGTGAGATATATATATATATATATATATATATATATATATATAGAGAGAGAGAGAGAGAGAGAGAGAGAGAGAGAGAGAGAGAGAGAGAGAGAGAGAGAGAGAGAGAGAGAGAGAGAGAGAGAGAGAGAGAGAGAGAGAGAGAGAGAGAGAGAGAGAGAGAGAGAGAGAGAGAGAGAGAGAGAGAGAGAGAGAGAGAGAGAGAGAGAGAGAGAGAGAGAGAGAGAGAGAGAGAGAGAACACATTAAATGTCATACATTATGTATTCCAAAATCTTAACGATACAGTTAAAAAACACCACCAACATTATTATTTGCCTTTTAAGGTCCATGAAGCCCTTACAGACATTATAAGTGGAGTTTGGGAATATATACATTTGACAAGTATACTACCACCAAAACGAAATAACTTTTGGTTCTTGTCTTATATTATTAAATAAGTGTTAATACCAGCCAGTATGAAGGATCCCACACACGCAATGAATCCAGATAAGAAGCTGTTGAAGGGAAACGTTCCCACCAGCACACAGTACAGGAACTGGAACACTCCGGTCAGCAGAATGTACAGCAGATACGCGTCGATCACCTTCAGCTTATTCGGTGTGCTGCTCCTGTACTCCTCCACAAAACGCGATATAACTGAAAACACCGAATTAGACATGGTTTCTGCAGGAATTGTGCACAGACACCCTGGAAATCAAGCAGCGAGGAGACGAATGACGTGTAAGAAAGAGACCGATGTGCGTCCTCTAAACGGTCCCCGCTGGAACGGCAGGTGCATTTTAGTTCCGGTGCTCGTGAAGCGTAAAGCGTTCGTGTTCAATGCAAATCAATTCAACTAATCCTAACCAAACATCCTAATTTTCTCCCAGAGTAATTTTACAAATCCACTCAGAACAACCGGAGACAACTGTGAAACAAACGAAGTATTGTTTTTAATTCTCAAATTCATAATGTATTCAGGTATTTTTTTTCCTAAACATAATTACGCAATAAAATCAAAGCAAAGATGATTCCTTATCACCTTATTAGTACACTGACGGTTTGAAACGTCAACATTTAATTATAAATATATTCACAAATTAAGATAAGACTTGTTTCATGGCATTTTACCCACTTCTGTTATTTCTGTGGCGCGGCTCCTTTAAAGGCGCAGACGTCAGCGTTACAACACATAAACACAACACGGGCTTTAAAGTGACGGTCTGTGTGGCAGTTCCGGTAGTGAATACAAACATCTATGCCAGTCTGTTCTTGTGGTTCTGTCCTGTGTTATGTTTCATACTAATGTCTCCTGCAAACGCCGCAATGCAAGACGGGACTGACACAGAGTGAGTACCGTAT